CGGTCTCCGACCGCTCCTGATTTTCCTTGAACTTGCTCAGTGTTAGCACGGAATATCTCAAGACTTGAGAAACCCCTGTCTCAAGTGAAGGGCAACAGTTGGTCACCTCAAGAAGCCCTTGCTGCCCACACCAGCCTTAGTGGGCAGGCTGGGCCGGGGCTCCTCAGCGTCTGCTCCGGCAGCGTGCTCTGAGGGAAGAGTGCAGGCAGCCAGGAGCTGCTGTGGCAGGGGCCAGGCCAAGAAGGAAGAGGGCGAGTCCTTGAGAGGGGCAGGGGCTTGGGGAGTGGCCACCAGGGGGCAGAACAGGCTCTCGGGAGACTGAGAGGCCATGGCCCCGGAGCAGGAGCCAGACAGAGCGGGCTCTGTGTGCGAAGGTCATGCACAGCAGCCCGCGCCCGGGCCACCCGTGCAGGAGGTGCTGTGAGCAGCTGTGCCCCACGTTTGTTTCTGTGTGGCCGGGTGGCCGGGTGGCTGGGGCATGGCTGTGGTACAGCAATGGTGGCATGGGGGGACAGTGCCTGGCATGGCCATGCCAAGGCCTTCCCGGTGGCACCAGGTGCACCTTGGCTCCCCAGGACGGAAGGCAGTGGGAGCAGAGCAGGCCGAGGGGTTCCCCGGGAGGTTGCTGGAGACGGGAGAGAGACGGAGCCAGGCCCCCCGACCCGCGCCTGCCCCGCTCCCAGAGGGGCCCCTGGGGCCCCAGACACAAGAGCCAAGGGCTGGGTCGCATACGGGAAGCTCCCGTGCCAGCTGTAGGCTCTGTGCCCGCCTGGCCGCCTCTCCGGCTTCTCCACTGCTTCCTCGCTGGCACTCCTCCAGCTGGGCTCGCCCCTGCTGTGCCGCGCTGTCCCTGTGCTCTCCCGCTTCGCGCCTCGTTCGTGCTGTGCTCGTGCCGGGAGAGCGCTTGGAGCTCGCCGCCTCGGCCCGCTCCCGCACGCTGCCCTTCTCCGGGCCGCGCCCCCGCTGTGTGCCAGGCCTAGCTCCGTAGGCCTCGGCCTCGCCGCCAGGACTTGGAAGCTGGCAGCTGGGCCTGCCCGTCTTGCTCAGAGGAGGGGGTCTGAGGGACGAGTGTGGACGAGGAAAGGCGGGGGTCTCTGGGCTAGGAGGACGAGAGCAAAGCCGCCACCGAAGCCCCAGCTCAACCCCCAGTAAAACGAACAAAAACCAAAACAAAAACACTACACATTCACCGAGTCCCTCAAATATGAAGAAAGGGACGGAAGATTCTGGCGCCACCGTGAGTGCTGGACCTCATAACCCTGTTCCGAAAGGCAGCACCGAGGAAAGGCGAGCCGCAGGATACCAGGGGTTCGCGCTCTCAGCCTGCAGTCAGAGAAGTGGGCTGCTGGGCGGGCAACGGCTTAGGAAGGCTCTGGAGAAGGAAAACCGTGCTGTGCTCCCCCGCCAGGGCGGAGCAGGGCGAGGCGAGCGGGCGTCCTCCGGGGCGTGGGACGGGGCGGCAGTGCGTGCGTGAGCGTGAGTGTGGCCAGAGCAACGGGAACAGGGCAGCTCCAGCCCCAGCTGGGAAAAGATGTCTGGCGGGGTCTCGGGGGAGGGACAGAGCCCAGCTGCCCTGAGGGCCAGCAGGCAGCCCAAGCCGCCCTCAGCCCGCTTTCAGGGGACGATACGCAAGACAGGAAAGGGCCCACGCACCTACTGCAGGGCAGAGAGGGCTGCTCAACACAGGCCAGGCAGAAGAGCAGAAGGGCAGAGGAGCCGGCCAGGCTTCAGCACACAGACCGCAGCCAGACTCCAGGAAGGAGCCGGGGAGGCGCAGCAAATAGACGAGGAATCCACGCTAGAACAAAACAGCCCAAGGAAGAAACATTCCTGGCAAGCTCCTGCTGTCGCGGAGGCCCTATTAATAGTATGGAGTCAATACAACCAAGAACCCAAGGGCGAGGCAGTGAAACCACAGGAGGAGACGCACGGGAGGTCACCGAGGGAGAGGACAGGGGCCCGCAGCAACCGTGCAGAGGTGGCCAGCGGGCCGCAGGCGCAGCGCGAAGCGAAGCCGGACCGTGCGGAAGGGCTGCGGCGGGGACGCGGGGAGAAAAGCAGACACCGAAGCAATGAGAAGATGGAGACAGCGGCGCCAGACAGGCCACCCTTCGCATAACCACCAGTAGCCCTAGGTGAAAGCCCCAAAGCGGAACACAAAGATATCCACGTGCGAAATACAGGCAGAAAATCTTGGAAATGAAGGAAGAACTGAATGTTCAGTTTGAAAAATGAATCAGAAAAACTGACACGGAATAAGTGACATTGGCACAGCGGTTTAGCTACCGAATGAAGGCAAAGTAGCGAAGCTGGGCACCTAAGTGGGAAAAGCAGGTCACGGGCAAAGGAGGGGGTGCAGGCTGACCTCAAGCTTCTCCAAGGCAACCTTCAGCAAAGATAAGGAAACGATTTTTATGCAGTTCTCAGGGTGAAACAAGTGCCACCCAAAATAATAACCAACAGTGGGAGACTTCAGCAATGAATCAGGGGCTACAGAAACCATGAATACCACTCAAACCTGGGCCTTGTAGCACATGGCTGTAACCCTAGCATTCGGGAGGCTGAGGCAGGAGGATGGCTGTGAGTTTGAGGCCCCCCGGGATACATAGTGAGTTCAAGGCCAGCCTCTACTAGTGAGACCCTGTCTCAAAACAACAACAACAACAGCAAAAAACAGTAACAAAATCCAGTCAGCCAAGAAAGTAATGAAAAGCAGGAGCTGAGGACGGGAGATTCATGGCGGAAAGACTCGTGGTGACACTGATTCCATTTAGGTCAAAATTAAACCATGGGAATTTTAGTTGCAGAACACAGTGTGAATATTATAAATCCCGACAGAGTAAAAGCAACATTGGCAACACAATCGGGAGTGGAGGGGGGCGGGGCAGAGTGCTAATCACATTTCCTTCATAATTCAGAGTCAATTAATAGCATATAAAGCTGAAGCATAATGGTAAAATTCCTACTCCAACTTCTTAATTGAAATCATTTTTCTAAACTTGAGAGAGATCTTTTAAGAATGACCTTTTTTTTGAGATGAAGAAATACTTAGCCAACTCCAGCTACTCCTTCACTTTCACTCCACGCCCCCCCAAGTTCCAGTAAAAATACATTTTCTACTTTGCATTGCAAAAAAAAATCAACCCTGATAGTACGTGGCATTAGGACAGTAAGAAAAGCCTCGTTCTTCAGTATTTTCCCTTCCGCGCCCTCCTCCCCCTTTCTTTCTCTGTACATAAAATTGCAGCATTTGTTGCCTTCTTTGTTTCTTTCTTTTTGGCTTTGTTTTCATTTTTTGTTTGTTTGTTTTGTTTTCTGGTGGTACTGGGGATTGATCCTAGGTTTTTCCCACTGAACTGCATCCCCAGTTCTTTGTTAAAAAGTTTGGGCTGGATGTGGTGGTGCACGCCTGTAATCCTAGCATCCAGGAGGCTGAGGCAAGAGGATCACCACAAATTCGAGGCCACCCTTTACTATGTAGTGAGTTCAAGGCCAGCCTAGACTACAAAGCAAAATCCTGTCTCAAAAAACAAACAAACAAACAAAAAAAAAAACTAGAAAAATTTGGGACAGTTTTATAAAGTTGCAAATTTGCCCAAGCTAGGTTCAGAACTTGTGCTCCTCCTGCCTCAGCCTCCCAGGGTACTGGGACTATAGGCATGCATCACCACACCTGATGATTTGTTGCATTTTTCTTTGTATTCTTTTGTATGCCTTCTAGATAACATTTCAATAAGAAACATGTATCTTTTTTCAGCTTATTTAAAAGAGTTTTTCTTACTATCTAGGTCTCAGGCAAATGGCTTAACTCCTGTGAGCTTCAGATTCCTCATCTTCAATCTGGGGATGATTAAATTCATGTTAGAGGGCGTTCTGATGATTGTGAGGCCCTGTCTCGGTGCTGGGCTGAGTACTGCTATGCAGTGTGTCCACGGTCTACTTCCCAGGACTTGTGAATATTGCCTTATATGGCAAGCACTTGCAGATATGACTAAGGATCTTGAGATGGGAAGATCCTGGACTATGTGGGGGGCCTGGCGGAACCATAGTAGCTCCACAGGAAAAAGGGGGGAGGCGGAAGGGGCATCTGAGAGGGTGCCGGGTGATGGACACAGACGGGGTGATGTGCTTGGAGGATGCAGCGGTGGTCCACAGACCAGGGAACACAAGCACTAGACTCTGGAAAGGCAGGAAAGAACAGTAGGAGCTCTCAGAGCCCACAGAAGGAACCAGACTGGCTGACACCTTTAGCCCGGAGGATGAACGTCAGACCTCTGACCTCCAGGCTGTAGGAGAATAGTAGGTCTGCATGGTTTGAAACCACGAAGTTTACAGCAGTTGGCCACAGCACCAGTGGGAAGCTGATCTTTACACTTCCCGCGTGCTCTCGCGGCTCAGTGGACCCCCTCCTCCATCTCTCACGCAGCCGACTCCTTGTTCCACGTGTGATTCACATTTCCCCAGCACCTTCCCCGTTTCGCTCAGCCCAGAGGGGGATGCGTGCCAGCCACGGAGCACTGTGCCACAGGTGCTCATGGGTAGGTCAGTCTCTGTCTCTGTCTCTTCTGTCTGTTTCTATCTCTGTGGCTTTCTGTGTGTCTGTCTCTGTCTCCGTCTCTCTCTCTCTGTTTTTGAGACAGGGTCTCACTCTGTAGTTCAGGCTGAACTTGAACTCACTATGTAGCTCAGGCTGGCCTCAAACCTACAGTAATCCTCCCGTCTCAGCCTCCCAAGTGCTCTCTCTGTCTCTGTCTCTCTCTCCACTCAGCTCAGTAAATGTTAAATGCATACATAGATAAACCAAGGTTAGGCTAGTAGGTAACGCGACAATTACCTTCTTTCTGTGTTCAGGATCTCTTCCTTCTCTAAGTATCTTTCCTCCTAAAGCCTTCTCTCCACATATACACATTCTTCCCATCCCTAGAAAACTGACCTCTGACACTGGTTCAAAACACAGAAGATCTGACACCTGTTGTGTAATTCTGGCAGTAGACGTATCTCTGCACAGGTGTGTGGTATGGAGACCCATGAACTTTTGTGTGTTTTTCTGGACATGTGGTATTGATGTAGTGCCTCTGTGTGAACGTATGTTTTCTGTGCATGCTTATGCCTGTGGAGAGACTCGTTGTTGCCTATGTATGTGTCTGCTTGTATGTATGTGGGCCTCTGTAGGTTACATGTATGTGTGTCTGTCAGTATAGACAGGGAAGCATATCTTTTGGTTTCTGCCTTCAGGGAGGCGAGCAGGAGTTGGTATGCCCGGATCACCTACTGGAATATCCACTGAGTTTTGCCCCAGTTAGTCTTCCCTTTCCTGTCACAGGTAGAAAGCAGACTATTTTTCTCTCCCTAACTCTAGGAGGGAGGATTTCAGGCCAAGGCAAAAAGTCAGCTGCAGACATGTTCCTGGCTCTGGTCCTCTGCAAGCCTAAGCTTGAGGGGATGATACTATGGAGAGGGGAGAGGAGGTGAACATCTAGAGGGCCCTTCTCCAAAACAGAGGGGACTGTGTTTGCATGGGCAGGGGGAACCCCAAACACTCCCTAACGGTACCCCAGGAATGGGGGCAAGGCAGGCTCAGAAAGGGAGGATCCTGGATATAGAGCTCCCAATCTGTTTTTTGTGTTTGTTTGTGTTGGAGACAAGGTCTTACTGTGTAGCTCAGGCTGGCCTCAAGCTCACTATGTAGCCCAAGCTGGCCTGCAACTCACAGCAGTCTTCCTCCCTCAGCCTCACAAGTGGTGGGCTTGCAGGCCTCTGCTAAAGCTAGCGCTTTCAGTCTGGGCCATCTCAATAAAGACTATGTGAATCACAGCTTGGAATACACAGGACCTCTAGTAAGAAGGGGTCCTGAAAGTGACCTTTCCACCAGGTTCAGGGGTTGCAAGCTGGGTGACGAATTACATTTAGTTTAGTTTAGTTTTACCATTTCAACCAAGTATAAAGTTTACCATTTCAACTTAAGTATAAAGTTAGCCTGGCATGGTCGTACATGCTTCTGATCCCAGTACTCTAGGAGGCTGAAGCAGGAGGATTGCAAGGTTGAGTCAAGTCTGGGGAACTTAGTGACTTCCTGGGATCTTGTCTTAAAATAAAAAGGGCTGAGGGTGCAGCTTGATGTGAAGGACCTGGGTTCAATTCTCAGTGCCATCAAAACAAGAATGAAACAGAGCGAGGGGTGAGGGGGGAGCCAGGGAGGAACGACACTCAGCGCATTCACACTGTCGGCAACCACATGCCTGGGTTTTATAAAACAGGAAAACAGTACTGAGTTTGTACACCTGAGCACTGCAGCAGTGGCCTCGGGCCCCTGGAGAAACACACGCAGTGGGAGGGGGCCTGAGACTGCGGAGAGGCAGAGGCCGCACACCCCCAGAGGGAAGGGCGGAAAGATGGGGGTGGAGCCACGAGTGCTGTCCCTTCTCCTGCACCCGCGGGGGACTGGGGGTGCTGCGGAGGAGGAGGCCCAGACTGTCTGGGTTCTGAAAGGCTTCGGGCTGAGGATTTTCCGGGGAGCTCAGAGCGGGGAGCTTGGGGACCTGGTCCGCGGTGAGTTTTGGAAGGGCGGCTCCGGGGCCGTGCAGAGCAGAGCGAGGGGAGAGACGCGGAACCCAGGGAGGCTGGCGCCGCACTCTGAACGCTGAAGGAGGCCTCTGAACGAAGGCTGTGGGAGGCCCAGGGGCAGCCTCTGTGTGCAGCAGGCACTGAAAATGGTGCTTTCTGGAGCCCGCAGCCCGCGTCGTGATGGACATGGCGGCTGGGGTGGGGTGCCAACTCCATCAGCTTTGGGTCTGCCCAGGGGATTGGTGGAGCACGCCGCTGGGCGGCCGGGCCTGGGCGGCTGGGGTGCAGCCTTGGGTGCTGGATCTGGTCTCCTCACCGCCTGCTCTCTGGCACTAATCCCTCGCCCTGTGTCCTGGCCACCATGAACACCACGCCCATCTGCCATGAGGCTTCTGCCTTGGAGCCAGCGGAGAACGGACTGGATCCCTCTAAACCGTGAGCCAGGTCTCAGGGCCCGGCAATGGGAAGGCTGACTGAACAGTGAACAGAGGGTGCAGAAGGACACAGCAGGAAGTCTCGTATAACCCCGTCGGCTGGGATGACTGTTTGTTGAAATCCTCATTATAGGAGGACAGCTTTGGGGCAAGCTGATAAGAACGAGGGCTCAGGTATCCCCTTACCCACAGCCACACAGCAAGAAAGGGCAGACAGTTTCGAACGAAGCCATGTCAGTGTGGAGCACTACCGGGTCCTCCTGGGAGGAGCCAGCTACTCCACAGTGAGGACAGTGCCTCCAGCTTCAGACAAGCCTTGGACCCTGTTGACCATGGGATGAGTTGATTAATCTCTCTAATGCTGTTTCCTTAAGAGGAAAATAGGATAACAGTACCTGCCTCATAGGACTGCCTTAAAAGTTTAACGAGATGATGAGGAACTGGCCTGATGCCGGCCATGTGGCAATGCTCCGTACGTCTTTGTTCTTTATAACAAGAGCAGCAGCAACAATAAATTACAGTCTGGACCCTGGGGATGAGGTCCGGGTCAGTGTTAAAGCATCTCCAGCACAAAAGAATGCACTGAGCCACAGACACTGAGAAGCTCGCTGGGGGGAGGGAGGACAGGAGAGGGAAGCGTGCGCAAAGAGCGCAGCCCACCAAAGCAGCTACAGCGGGGCCACAGGGCTGAAGGAGACGACATACGAGAGTTGTAAGCAATGCAGGAAATTTGAGTTCTATGGGCTGGGGATACAGCTCAGTGGCATAAGCGCCTGCCTGGCAAGCACAAGGTCCTGAGTTCGATCCCCGGTACCGCAAAGAAAAAAAAAGAACTTTGAGTTCTACTCCGGTCTTCATCACTTGCTGCTCTGGAGCCCTTGGTTGCCCAGAGCCTTGGTTTCCTCATCTGTTTCCCGGCCCTGTCTTGCATCCAGGTGAGGATTATCGACGAGGAATTAAGACTGTCCAGAGTCTAGTCTTCATAAAGAACTGCCATTTTAGGAGGAGGGAGACCGTTCCTAGAAGTGCCTTCACGGAAGACAAGAGAAGCTGGAGTTTCAAAAAGGGACCAATAGCCCCGGTGCGGCCGAGTAGCCAACAAAGATTAAGACTGAAAAATATGCACTGGCTACGGCAAGGGGTGACAGTGACCTTGGTGAGAGCCAGCGTCCGGGTGCTGGGAGCCGAAGGCGGGGCGGCCCCGCAGAGAGTGGGAGGTGGGCAAGGAGAGCTGAGAAACGGGGTGACAGCTTGGCAGGGATGAGGAGGAGGAGCGGGGTGGGGGGGCAGGCGACAGCGACAGGCACGGTTCTGAGACGGGGAAATCAGAGCACCTGGCAGCCTGCCTGTCCCTGCACGCCGCGGCCGAACACTGGCTCCAGTTTTGGGACGCGCTGTTTTCCACACAAAGCCGCTCTGTCTGGGTACAGGCCCAGGCCACTAGGTGCTCCCAGGGCCGTAACTCGGGTCACTCAGTGCCGAGGCCTGGCACCGCCTCTTACCCTACTTCCCAGCGTGGCCTGGGACAAGGTGACCTGCCTCACACCTGCTAGGGTTGGAGCGTCTGTCCCACCTGCCGCCCGTGTCTGCACAGCCCAGGGAGACGGGCGGTAGTCATAAAAGAGCCGTCAGCTACATCCTTTCTCTGGATTCTCTCCCACTGCTATTTGTCCATGGAAGAAACATACAAGAAATTTTTAAATATTAGAAAAAGTCTTCTTTGAGCTCATTTTTTTTTTGAACTCCACATTTTTTTTTGAACTCCACATTTTTCTCTGTTCTTCTTCCATTTATTTATTTCTTCATTTATTGATTTATTTTTGTTCCTATCTTTTAGTTCTCTTAAAAGAATCATCTCTCGCCGGGCGTGGTGGTGCAGGCTGTAATTCCAGCACTTGGAAGCCTGAGGCAGGAGGATCTTTGTGAGTTCGAGACCAGCCTGGGCTACAAAGTGAGTTCAAGGCCAGCCTGAACTGCACAGCGAGACCCTGTCTCAAAAAGACAAAAAAAAAAGTTGTCTCTATTGTATCAACTTACACTATTTTCATAACTGACGATTGAACCCAGGGTCTTTGTGCTGAGGTACTCCCCCGGGTCCCCTTTGAAATATGGTCTGGCGAAATTGCCCAGGTTGGCCTCAGATTGGAGACCCTTCTGCCCAAGCCTCCCTCACCCCAGGGTTACAGGTGTGCACCATCGTGCCTGGCTCTTCCTCACTCTTGAAATCTGGCTCCTACTGTTGCTGTCTCCATATTCTATTGCCCACTGGATGCTTCTAACCAAGATAATCAATAGCCTCCTTGTTCTTAAATCTAAGAGCTCCTTTTTTATGAACTACTAGACCCTTCTTGGGTATTTTGGATTACTTATCCTCTTCTCTTTTTTTTTTTTTTGGTTTTGGTTTTTGGTTTTTCTCCGGTACCGGGAACCAAACTCACGACCTTGTGCTTGCCAGGCAGGCACTTTGCCGCTGAGCTAAATCCCCAGCCCCATCTTCTCTTTTTTTTGTTGTTTTTGTTTTGGTTTTTGAGACAGGGTCTTGCTATGTAGTTCAGGACTGAACTACACTTCTTGTAGTTCAGTCCTGAACTCACTAGGTAGCTCAGGCTGGCCTTGAACTCACAGCAATCCTCCTGCCTCAGTCTCCCAGAGAGCTGGGATTACAAGAGTGCACCACCACATCCAGGCAGCCTCCTTTCTTGAACTTCTGTCCTTTCTTGGACAGAAGTACCCTAAAACTATTCCTCCTGGTTTTCCTTCTACGTCTTTGACAGATCTTTCCCCACCTACTCTGCGGATTTGTCTTTCCCTGGCATTGGTGAATATTAATCCAGTAGGCTCTTTTCTTTTATACGGGTGCCCCCTCCCTCTGGTGGAAACTGCCTTTCACTGGTGTGGTTCTTATGGAGGCCACCCCTAAACAGATCATTGGTGCAGGTCAGGACATCTGAGCAAAGCCAGATGGGAGCAAATCCCGGGGAATTCTGGGACTGGAACAGAGGAGGCGGCTGGCTGCCTGGATTATGAACTGTGAGACTGAGGACCGGCAGCAGCCAGTCCATTATGATGGGAGCTGGAGGAGCACTGGGAGCTGGTTTGTAGAGATAAAGGAGAGGAAGGAGGAAGAGGGAAGGAGGATGAAACAAGGGAGACACGGAGGGGAACGCAGGTGAGTGAAAGCGAGTGGGAGCGGAGTTAGATGAGCGGTAGAAAGGTCCCAGGGACATTCAGGTTCCCAGACCCAGCCGCTTCCAAGTTCCGGCCATGTTCTTGCAGTCGGACTCTAGGCACTCTCCAGTGTTCGGAAAATAAGTCCTCTTCCTGCCTGAACTAACCCAAGTGAGGCTTCTCTGACGTGTAATGCCACAAAAATCAGGCACCAGGACTGAAGGACTCCAAATGACAGACCCTGGAAGGAGGGACTGACAAGGCTGAGGTGTGTAGAAGACCTCTTAGTGCCAGCCTGAGGACTTGGAGGTCTCTTCTTCCTTCTGTTTTCAGTGCTGCGGATCAAACCCACAGCCTCGGAATGCAAGGCCGGTCCTCTGCCACCAGTTTACATGCCTAGCCCTGGTTATACTTTTTAATGTGGTAGCAAAGCAATTAGTTAAACAACTGCCTGTCATCTCTTGTATTTTGTGTTGTGTCCAACTGAAGCTGAAGTGTTTGAAGACAGAGCAGTAAAAAATCCGGATAATAAATGAGCTATCCAGGCTGGTGGTCTGCAAGCAGCTAGGGGAAGCGGAGTACGATTAATTTGGAGGAGAAGCTCTGTTCTCGTCTTGACCTCAGATTGCTGGGAGCTGGATAATAATGTCCTTGCTGAGTTTCAGAATCTGCTATTTGCTACTCGGTAATGTGAATACTCTGATGAGGAGACTGAGATCCCAGCAAATCAGGACAGAGAAACACTGGAAGATCCAGAGGCTTAGGAAGCCTTCCCGTCCCCAGCCTGCCAGGCGAAGGTAACGAAGCCTCTCATCATAAAGTACACTGACTGGAACGGATCAGACAAGAGTATCATTCCAAGGCAGGATGAAGAAAAACGTGTCCAGCCCTATCAGGCCAGCCTCTGATTTCCCATGAAGCCATACGGCGCAGAGGAATTAAAGGAGCCCCCAGAGGCAGTACACAAGAGAGAAATCACCCTAAAAGCTCGCTCAAGCCAGGATCTCTTTGGAGGTTCAGAGAACATCAGAGATCATGGCTCTAAAAAAATTCTGTTGTTATGGTAGTAGGTATCTCTTACATCTATGGATGTCCTTCACCTTGTGTGTGTGCATGTGTGTGTGTGTGTGTGGGGGGTGCTGGGGATTGAACCCAGGACCTTTGCACTGAGCTACATCTCTATGGGAAAATTCCCATCTAAAACTCCTACCTCCTCAGTATAAAAGTAAAAATTCCCAGAATCCCTTGCAGCACAGTCAACTGCACAGTCAGTTCCATGTGGAAAAGAACAATATAAGTGAGGTAGAAATTACTAAGGTTCATGAATATCTCTGGTTCTCTTCTTCAGAGCACAAGGAAGATTGCACTTCCTGTGCCCCTTGATGTTAGGGTACTCTGGATGACTGTGAGATTTGTTTTGATCAATGCAATGTACACAGAAGCCAACGAATGCTTTTCCTTACGCTCTTCTCCGGCCACAGCAAACCCTGAAACTGATGTCAGGAAGGTGTCACCTTAGTAGCGGAGCCTTCAACATTGCCTCCAGTGATGCTTCGGTGACACAGCAGCAAGACTTCTCTGCCCCACTCCCACCTGAGTGCAAGAAATGTATCTGTGGGTTGTTTTGTTTTGTTTTTTGGCTTTTTTCTTTTTGGGGGACAAGATCTCACTATGTAGTACAGGCTGGCCTTGAACTCAGCAGGTAGCCTCGGCTGGCCTTGAACTTGCAGCAGTCATCCTGCCTCAGCCTCCTGAGGGCTGGGATTACAGGCCATGCGCCACCACACCCAGCAATCTGTGTTGTTTGAAGCCAATAAAATTTGGGGGTTGTTTGTAATTACTGTTCTACCTGGCTAATCCTGACTGCTATTAGCAGGGAGCAGACTGGACATATGGCTTTGATTTCTGCTGTTGCCAGTAGTAACACAAGTGCCCAGCTGTGGGGATGGTAGTGGCAATAGTAGTGGTTTCCCCATGGTTGCAGTAATGAGTTCCTACCACAGAAGTGCCACAGAGCTTGTAAAATTGGTGGTCAAACTGAGCTCTTGGTACTTACTCAGCGTTTAGAGTGGCAGTAGCTGTGGTTTCCTTATCAGGTTGTGTGGTATCGTTCCATGTTGTTGCTAGAAGCTTATCCTCAAGTCCGTTTCCCTGGTCCTCTTAACAGGTCGGAACTGAATAATCTCTCTTAACAAATTCCTTTTCTGATTCAACTATCCACGGTGCATTCTATTATTTGTGAAAAAAGAACTCTGGCTGACAAAATTACTGTATTTAATACATCTCAGATTCCATCGATTACAAGAACCAAGTTATTTTGTGAACTCCTAAGAAAAAAAGCAACCACAAAACTACTGCATACCATCGATTGAAAAGCACATTCTGACTTCAGAGTAGTTTACACTAGAAAAAAAATGCCCCTTCAGATCAGTGAAGTATGTTATTAGCAAATGAAAGTCCCCCAAATGAAACTGATAGGCAGCTGATTGTGGTTTTAAGACAACTGTATCCAATAGTATCCACATACCAGGCCTTTGTTTCTATCCCCAGCACAAGCGCGCGTGCACACAATTGTATCATGGGGGTCTCTTCCACGATACAGGCTCGTAAATGCAGAGGTCTGTGACTGCTCAATCCCTGAAGACACCGCCAGAAAGTGTAGCGCTAACACCACACAATGGCACAAAGAACTCCACTTGGGCCTCTCCAATCACTGGATAAGGAATCTCATCACAGTGGACAAAACCTCAGGCAGCCAGATTGGCTGACAGAGGAACTTCCCAGCCAAAGAAATGAGTCAACAAACAGATGTCATGAGGTTTTCTAGCCCCATCATTTTCATTATTATTCATGGCCAAAAAAACATAGATGATGCTGCTGATTTGTGACCGATGCACAATGCTTTCTTTTCATTATCTGTTACTTCCATCTGTAGACATCAGGACTCATTTTGCAGGAGAGTGCTTGAAGGCAGCCTCGAGGCAGCTATCTGAGTCCCAGTGAATTTGATTCAGTCCTCACCCAGTTTGGTTTGCCACCACAATCATGGAAAGAAGTAAGTTTGTGAAAAAAATATACGTATATCTGGACGTAGGTATATATATGGCAGTAAAAGGTGGTCTGTAGTGAGCGCCTACCATTTTGCTTACACATAATCCCTCTCCTCCTGGAAGACACCTCACTCCCCCTGTCCACTGGTAATCATGTTAACGAGTTTGATCTTCATCCCTTAACCACTGTTGATCAGTTCAAAGTTAAGCATCTAAGTTGAGTCGATCAGAATAAATTCCAAAGAATTTGCAAACTGCATTCAAAAGGAAGCAGCGACAGCAGCATGAATGTCACAACCACGTCTCTTTGCATGCTTGGACAAGTAAGATTTTAATATTTGGAACTGTTTGAAGTCATGATTTTGAACACACGGACCACGAGAGTATTGAAACTATCCTGGGGATGTAAGTGGCAGGGGCTTGGGGCTGGGGCAGGGGTCAGGGGAGAGAAAGGAGGAAACAAGCAGAAAGCAGCGGAGGAGTGATGGGGTGAGGTCCCTGATGGTGTTTAAGTCTCTCAGTTCCAGTGTTCACTCCAGTTCCAGCACCCCTGTCTTTGGGTTCAGTATCCGATTTCAGATGCATCTTTTTTGCTTAGACCAGTTCTCAGTCTCCCAGTGAGCTCATCCAGTTTTCTGGCTAAACTACAGCTCTGTGGCTAGTAACTTACAAAGTGTTACCTTTAACCAGGGCCTCTCTCTTGAGCTCAGACCTATTCATCTGGGTGCCTACAGAACATCTCCACTTGGGTGTCCTACTGATATTCAACTTCATCATTTCCAAAAGAAATCATCCCCCTGCCCAAGCACCTGGTGAAACTCTCTCGTGTGTTCTCCATCCCAGTAAATGGCATCACAGCGTCCCCAACCACTGCAGCGTTCCCTCTAAGCATCTTAAATTCTGCCCACTGTAGCTCCCAAATGTCAATACTCTCCTGCTATCTTCCCTCCGGTTTCCCATCATCACATTGGCCTCCCTTCTTTCTTTGTTCTCAAATGCTTCCAATACCCATTTCCACCCAGCAGCCCAAATCATCCTTCCAATTTCTACATATGATCATTACACCTCTGCTCAAAATTCTTCAGTAGCTCCCCGCTATTATCAGGATAAAATCTGAACTCCTGTAGCTGGGTCACAAAATTCATTCATATTACACTCAGATGTGCAACAGTATGTCTCCTCTGTTTCCTATAACTGATCTGCTCTTTCTTATAATACCCTCACCCTGCTGGGTTGCAGGGGGAAAAACTAAAATTAATCCATCTGGTCAACTCCATAGGGTCCAGAATTTATTTTAGACAGTCTCTAACTCGGTAGCTTTGGATGACTCAGTCTTTCAGATTATTTTATCCTTCTCTTTTTTCTTTATAATATAGCACGTGGATTTCTAGGGGGGGGTCTTGTGTGAATTTCACAGCATTGAAAGAAGGGACCTCTGTAGCCACCTGGTCCTTGGGGTTGTCAGCTGACATATACTGAAATGTGGCTGGTCTCATAGAAATCAATGAGCGAAAATCCCGACAGGTTACGACTACCATAACCATCCTACAGACAAGGAAGCTGAAGTGAGGGTAAGAAACTTGCCCAAGGTCACAAAGTGAGAGATCAGACCGCCCTGCTTCCAGTAGGCACCTGGTTACACGAGTCTGGAAGTCCAGAGAAAAGTTAAGGCTGATCTGGAGCACGATGAGTCCTCCTGATACAGCTTCGCAGATGCGACTGCCCAAGAGAACACTGAAGAGGGCCTGGATGGGGCGCTCAGGAACCACGCGGGGCGGGAGCTGTAGATAGTGGTAGAGCACACGCCTGGCATATGCAAGCGCCTGGACGCACCCCGGCGAGACAATGACTGGCACGTCAGGGCTGGGGCGCGAGGGGCCCCCCCGACTGCTCCTGTCCAGGCTTCTTCTTAGGGTCGCTCCTCGGACGCGGAGTCAGGACTCCACCGGGCCTGGACAAATTCCGACCAGGGCCGAGCACTGCTCCAGGGTACCACAGGCTCCCTCACAGCACAGCTAAACACAGACCAGCAGCCGCACTGGGGGGCTCACTAAACGCAGCGAAAGAGCTCGTGTAGCAGAGACCCTCGCACCTCCTGTGCGGCCAGGGCATGTGGGGTCAGCGACAAACCCTCTACACTGCGGGTGCAGGCGGGCGCGGGGTGTGCAGGACGACGGGGTCCTGCGGGGGCGGTGGGCCTCCTCTCAGGTGTGGGGGCCTTCTCCCTGATGAGCGGACGGAGCCCTCGCCCAGAGAGAAGTGTGGTGTGGCAAAGGACTTCGCCTTTCGCCCATGTTAGCCGTAGCGACGCCAGGCGTGGAAGGTACGAGAAATCCCTGGGGGAAAGCCGGCCTCGCCCCCACCCTCCCCCCACAGACCCGGACAAAGTGGCCCTCAGGCCCCGCCCCCGCAGCGGGGCGGTGCCGTCCCACCCCAGAGCGCGACCAATGGCGCGGGAACTTGGCGCGTCCAGCCAATCGGACGCTGCAGCTCAGGCCGCGGCCCCGCCCCACAGGCCGCCTAGCCGGCCACCCAGGAGGCGGGACTCTTCGCGGGGTTTGAGCCTGGCCGAGCTCGACCGAGCTCAGCCGAAGGCCGCCGGCCGTAGCCGAGCCCAG